TTAAAGCAGTTTTTTAGTTTTTTTGGAGGAAAAGACTCTTTTATTCTGTCCTTACGTACAGATATCACACAAAAACATCGTTAAATTGTATTCGACAGCGGTCAAAATGGATATTTTCGTTGAAATATGCTGCCTGAACCTTTTAGCGATTACAATACTTCCTTTTTACTTCGTACAAGGAAGTAAAAACTGAAAGGGTTCAGATTTTAACGGTCCCCGAAAAGAGTTTGTTAAGGTTTTTTATTCTCTCGCTGAACTCACAGTCTATCAGCCTACACTCACACCTGCTAATCGATTTTTTTTTTTTTTTTCCTTTGGTGGTTTTAGCTTTATTATTAAGCATGAACTAACGTCATATGCAATTCAAAGCAAAATTACATACATTTTAAAATCAGCATAGCAGTATATCTTTTAGAAGTCCTAATACAGCGTTAAGTGTTGCCGCACATTTTGCTGGGTTTTTCAGTCTTTTCTCAGTTCCACGTATCAAGGTTCAATTAAACATTTTTTATCTTTTTATTATTTAAGTTTTCTGTGTTTACTTTATTTATTAAATATCAAGTTCTTGGCAATTACGCGAAATAAAATTCGGTTCAACAGCAAGATCAGAAAATATTTAAAAACGGCATTTCTTTAGAATATCTCACGGCCAGTTACGCGCTGGATATATATATATAGATATATATATATATATATATAATATCTATCTATCTATCTATCTATCTCTATATCTATATATATAATATATATATATTATATATATATGTATATATATATATAATGTTGCGGGCCCACCAGCGGCCGAGCGGTAAAGTCGCTGAACACTGGTAGTTCGGTCCGAGGTTCGAATCCCGCGAACGGGCTGGCTGAATGGGCGTTTTCGTGGTTTTCCCCATGTGTAACGTGTATACGAGCCAGTTTCCCTTAGAACGTCCTCCACGAAGGCATCCCTTCCCTTAGGCAGATAGCCCTCGAGGCTTTGATATAATCACACACACACACACACTTACAATGTTGCAACTGTTAGTTTTGAAATCGCTGAGTTAGTTAATCAAAAATTAGTTAAAGATTTACGAAATGTGAAATAGACAATAAAAAAAATTCCAAATTCGTTCTTCCAGATGCTGGGGTGGAGGACCACGTTATTCAAAATTTGATGGCTTTGGCTATTGTTGTTTTTTCACAAGTTAAGGGACATGCCTACATTCATGCAGAATTTTTATTATTTAATTACTTTAAGTATGATAGTTGGCGATAATATTTGTTGGCAACGATTTGAAAAGTGATACAATGCATTTAGGTGTTTCGACGCAAATTGCCTAATAAACCATGCGGTAAAAACATCTCGTTTGGGTTAAAAATATTGGAGAAAATATATAAACATGCGATACGTATTTCTGTTAGTAGGAAATATTCTCAACATGCATAAGAAACAGTGCTACAAATTTTTTCTATTTTAAAATTCATCATACGTACGTTAAATACTTAAGGCAGTGTGATAACAAAATTTCACTGAGTACTTCATTGATTTGTCTGCAAAACAACGTAAGTAAGTAAATAAATAAATAAATAAAATAATCAGAATGCTTAACTAGATCTCCAAAACTACAAGTCCGCACCGAAAATGATAACAACAGTGTTATATTACGACTAAGTTTATCTCCGAAAGAAACCAACTATACGAACTATTTCAAGATTTGTTGACGTAATTCACTAGCGTAAACCCATAAATTCTCTTTGCGGAGTACATCGAAGAATTCTCATTTAATCTCTCTCTAGTTTTAAAATCGGGGAAAATTATTTTTCCCAAGGGCACTATTCATTCGATGCTCTCTCCACAAACCATAAACTCCTAAAGCCATCAAAACGGAAGCAAAGACCGCCTGATTGATATTTTTGGATGCTCAGTGCAGTCAGTTTTGAGCGTCATATTGGTCTGTCATGTCTCTTAAATTCGTGCCATTATCGGCGGAATTTTTGAAGCTCTACCTTCCTTTACTATAATACTAAATACCAAACCTGTACTTTCATGAGCGTTTAGTTTGTGGCAGCACGTTTAAATGGGTAATGAAATCCCCGATGGTAATTGATTATTTTGGGTTTACTTTGGTCCTTATTACCTAATAAATTATTGAGACAAAATAACAAGGGACTTGGTGTTTGAAGGAAATGTTTTGACCTGGATTTAAAAGTTCATTTGTCTTGAACTTAAAATGCGTTTTAAGAGATAATGATATAGAAATATAAGATAGTTAAGGTAATGAAATTTAGATTCGCCAAGCTAAAATGACTTCTGTGATTAATTGAAGTTCTTTTTCTTTCCCTCAACACACTTTTTCCCCCAAATTGCCGACATTTTCTTTCTGTAAGGAAAAGGATGTTGATGCGTGTTTCCTAATAGACAAATTTTTGGTAACTTTATTAGCCTGTACAGACTTAAATTACCTCACTTTTAGGATATTGTTATCCTTCTTGAAATTCCTTAAATTCAAAGCATAATAGCATCAGATGCAGTGCTGTTGTTTTTGGAAGATGGTACTATTGTTTTTAATACAGGCTATTGAAATGTAATATTAATTTTTAATCTCAAGATTCGTTACTGTCTTCACGATTCCTTATTTCTTTCAAGAGCTTTTACTACTGCCTTTAACCGTTTGACTCCTACGCGGAGCAAAAGCGCTGCCTTCATTTGTCTCGAAAACCACTACGCAATTAGTTATTTTAGAATGCACTCGTGTTACAAAGTACGCATGAGGTCAAGACTACGTACGTTCACACCCACGGAGCAACAAAGACACACTGAAACTCGCAGCGCAAAAGGGCTACGTCGCGGTTTTCGAGAGAAATGAACGCAGCGTAGCATTTAAACGATTAAACCTGTTGGTGCCTACCAGCTGCTGAGCGGTAAAGTCGCTGAACAGTAGTGGTTCGGTTCAAATCCCGCAAACGTGCTAGCTGCATGGGCGGTTTCATAATTTTCCGCATGTGTAAAATGTATACGAGCTAGTTTCCTTTAGAAAGTCCTCCACGAAGTCATCCATTCCCTGAGGCAGCTAGCCCTCGAAGCTTTGCGGTATCGCGTAAAACGAACCGAACCCTTAGAAAGTCCTCCAAGAAAGGATCCTCCCCTTCGCAGACAGCACTTAAGGCTTTCCCCCATAATCCCAGAAACCAAACTTTCAAATCTGCTGTCTTCAAGATATGTTATTATGATCCCTATAAAATATTTTAAACATACTTATTTATTGTAACATTTGCCTATTAATCTTAATGAGTAATAACGTTCTTTAATTCGATTGGAACTTAATTAGTAATACGTTCTTTAAATCGATTCGATGTGTGTCTCTGTAATATAAGGTACCGTAATCTAGGTTCGGAAATGGTGGCTGTAGAATTTATTTCATTAAACATGGATCGTAGGCATGCATTTCCACATTTAAAATATTAAAAATGAATTGAAAAATATTGTAATAACGCTTTATTAGGAAGTTAAAAAATAAATCATTTATGTAATTATGTTAGAGGAATAACTGAAATTAGCAAAAACGAATTAAAAGCGAACTGTATTGCTATTTTTTTATGGAAAACTCACAGAAAAGCTCCCTGAAATGTGTATTGGTTTACAAAATTTAGGAAGCATCTATAAAGCACAAAAATTATTCATTTTGACGGAAATATTTTCATTTGAGCAAAACCGCATCTGTTATTAAATTTTTAGCTGACCTCTGAAGCTATCTCTTCTTGCATTTTACATACCTTTCCTACTTTGTAGAATTATTAAGGTTATTTTGAAGCAAAAGACATGGAAATTGAGCAATGCCCTTCTCGGAACTCCAGTCTGGACCTTTCGAATACGCGCCAAGTGTACTACCATTACACCACGAAGGGATGCTGGAAGGAAGCACAAAATACCTTATAACTTTTATTAACAACGTATGTAATTTAATATCAGGCAAAACTCAATCTTGAATTGGCATCAGATATGTCAGCATTTTTAAGGAGTGAACGTTGATTTGACGCCTTTGAAAATGAGAGAGATTTCTATCAAACTAGCCCTAATACAAAGCTGAATTTTACCTGATTTTACGCTTCCTTTTAACAATCGTCTATTTTCTGCATTAAATTAATTCTCTGATCGGCCCGTGTTTTTCGTTCAGAGATCACAAATTTCCCAAAGCTACTGTGATAAATAACTATTTCTTAATTTTAATGTCAAAATGTCCCTAGTACTTGGTCAAAATGTCCCTTGTATACCTGGATTTATGCATTTTTAATATATTGCTTAACGTTTTGTACTTATGTGCACGTATATGAATGTTTTTACACGTATATATACGTTCACGTGAACGTAATAACTGTAAGAACGTATATATACGTTCAAGTGAACGTATATATACGTTCACGTGAACGTAAGAACTGTAAGAACGTATATATACGTTCAAGTGAACGTATTATACGTTCACGTGAACGTATTATACGTTCACGTGAACGTAAGAACTGTAAGAACGTATATATACGTTCACGTGAACGTATATTACAGTGAACGTATAATATATACGTTCACGTGAACGTATATATTATACGTTCACTGTAAATATATACGTTCACTGTAAATACGTATATCGTTCTTACAGTGAACGTATATATACGTTCTTACAGACATCACAAAAAATATTTCTAAGACTTATATGTACGGCCTTGGGACGTGTATGTACGGCCAGAGGGTTTTAAATATAGATTTTTTCGGGGGGGGGTCCTGTTTGTGTATCGCTTGCGCTTGCCGATTTTTTTTCAAACCCGTCCAACGGAAGAAAATTTGGTAATTTGTTTAGTATTTTCTTTAACAGAGAAGTAAAAATTTAAATATAATTAACATATATTTGTAGAATATTTATTTCAAGACAACGCATCCGTGAGTCTGTGTATTACCTTCGTGTCTGTCTTTAAACATAAAAATCTAGTAATATTTATATATTCTTTAATCGATTTTTGACTTTCAGGTAAGCCAGTTCCATCTGTCACGTGGTGGCGAGAGTCGGTGCTTTTGGATGACATGTACGACGTAAACACCAACGGAGTTATTAGGAATGAATTACTAATATCTTCATTACAACGGCACGACTTGATGGCAGTCTTCACTTGTCAAGCGTCCAATAATAATGTCTCGCTGCCTTCTTCGTCTTCGGTCACAGTAGACATGAACTGTAAGTAAATATTTTATTATAAAAAAGAAAGAAGAGAAAGGAATTATCCTTTTGGTTTCAAGTAAATTTAACTTAATTTTAATTAAGTTTTCAAGTTTCAAGTTATTTTAATTAAGTTTTCAAGTTTCAAGGTTTCAAGTTAATTTTAATTAAGTTTCAAGTTAAAACACTTGCTATTTCACTACGAAACACTCCACAGAATTACGAAACTGTTTAATTACTGTAGAATTAATTTTAAGTCTTACCATTCTCGTCGGTTGTTCTATAATTGCGTTTAAATCTGTCAGAAAACCAACTGAATTTTGTGCAATTCTCATCGATATAAAACCATTCTGATAGCTTGGTCTCAATGCTTTAAATCTAAGCTATTTCCCAGTCTTTGCGATCGCCTTTTCCCCGTCCCCCCTAAAAGGTCTGAGATTTCGAAGCATATTTTTCAGTTTTCCTTTCAATCCATACAAAGATAACAAAAGATATTGAATCTTTGGTAGAAAATCCTTCCAAAGAGTGTCTCTAGGGTGCTTAGAGGGGAAAAGTTCTGAATAAGCAAACTATGTGTGTGTGGGGGGGGGGCGGGTTTTACTGTGACCTTCGGCCGTGGTTTCACCCACCTTTACAAACTAGTTCTGTTATAGACTGATTGTTATAAAGTCTCTGACCGCTCCCTCAAAACTTTCGCCTGGGGCAGAGGAAGCACTTGTGCCATTCGAACAGTCTCTATATTATTGTCAGGGGGCTTACTAGAAAACCATTTAGGGTGCTGTAATTTTGAATGAGCTATGTTTCAGAAAGCTAAGATTTATAAAGTCAATACAACTAGTTGTTTTCATTGTAAACTTTCATTGATTTTTATTTGAAACAAATTTGCTGTATCTAAGCAAGTAGTGCTGCCAATCGGCGTCGGAAGGCCGTAAAGACGTCTTTCAATAAATAAATAAATAAATAATGACGTGAAATAAATGGCAGCTTTTAAAAAGTAAAATAATAATGGTAAAATGAATGTGGAGAACGCATAATCTGTGTATTAATTCTATATTATTTTGAAGTAAAAAATTCCATATTTCTTCTTTGTTTATATAATGCTGCAAAATTCCTTCCCCGACACCGTTTCAAACAACTGTTTAAAACATTATTCTTTCAGAGGATACAAAGAATAGATATTCATGAAAATTAAAGAATGGTTAGTTTTTATTCCCAATTTAAACCGATTCCAGAAATATTTTTTTAATAATTTAATAGAAACACTATAGAATTTTCTAATAACAAATTTGATCCTATCTTGAATGTAGCCCAACTTGTTTATTCGAACATTTTCACCAACTTATTTTTCAAGCTTGTGGTTCCCCAACAGTGGTCTAGTAGTTATAACCGCTTAACACTAGTATTTCGAACCCAGGCACACGAGCTGCAGTTCGACCGCCTTAGCCACGACCATGAGCGCAAACGCGCATATGATATTTAGAACGATTTATTCTCGAAATAGGGTGGATGGAATCATGTCGTATAAATTTGTTTCCTTGCTTGTTTCCATGGCGTTCAAACAGCACAGGCATAAAAAGACAAAATTATTTTTATGTAATCTAAGCTGATAAGCTGAATCTATTTGGAAACCTAGAGACCGGTTTCTTTTTTTTACTACAAAAAGAATACTTCTTCTAAAGAATGCAGTTCTGTGAGTTTAAAAAATAAACGATGAAATACGGATTGCCCATATAAAATTCATCAATTATTTTTAAAAAAATTCAACATTCTTGTTTTTTTTAGTTCTCTAAATATTAAAAAACAAAGATGGAAAAAAAAAATGTGCGAAAGACAATTAACGACAGCATCACTCGATGACATGGGGATTCTCCCTCCCTCGGTGATATAAATTCCCTCTTTCCGGCGAAGAGAGAACTTTCACGTGATCTCTCACCTCGCGGCACCTAACTAACGCCCCCCTTTTGACGATTCTATATGTTTTGGCAGAAAGCCAGCAAAGTTTGCGTTTAAGACGGTCGAACTATTTAGCTGCACGATTGGATTCTGTAGTTTCTCCCCATGCGTACAGTGAATATCAGCCAGTTTCTCTCAGAAAGTCCTTCACAAAAGCTATCTTCGTTTTCGCATGTAGCCCGCCTGGGATATGTCATATTCAAGTAGCTTAATATTATCCGTTTAGTCACACGTCTATGGAAAGAAACGTAGGTGAGAATAAACTCAGCATAGAATTGATTGAATAAAATACGTAACGAGATGCGGTAAAAATATTATTTTTGTTTTCAGAATTATTAAAATTATTCGGTATAAAATGTTATACCTCCAGATAACAAAGATAATTTAACGCAATGCATTATTATTGCTGTCAAAAGTATGATAAAATATATGACATAAATCATGAAAGCTTTTTCAAAATATACTTGTCGATTGCTTTCTGTCTGAGATCCTTCTGCTTTAAGTGGACTTTGAATTAACATAAAAGTCAAATCGGAGAGCTGTAAAATAATTCCCTTGGGAATTTAGAGACTAGAATTGCACAAAATTGCTTAAGGAGGCTTTAAAGTTCTTCGCTTTTTATGAACAAAATAAACTTATAAAGTACAGAAAGATTTCTATGATAATTAAAGAGCACCCTTCCGCTAATATAGCAAATCCGGCAGAATTAAATTTTATTACATTTCATTTTGTTACTAGAGATATAATTTGTATATAGTCATTTATTTCATATTTATGCTTTGTCATATCTAACTATGCCCTATCAATGCGGCGGAAAATCTTACGTTTAATAACGATTAGAATTTTATTATGCTTGACTACAGCCAAACTCACAAGCATGTTAATAAACGTTCTTGAGAAGTTCTCATTAAGAATGAATTTTTCTATGTTCCACTTTCTCTGCGGATGGAACAGTATTTTTCAGACAAAGCTAACATTGGATGAAAATGAGATAGCAAAGTAATAGAACGTCAGATTAAGGTTTTCAAGGTATATGAAAGTGTTAATATTCGAAGCAAAAAATATGAAATATTAACTGACATAAACATTTCAATAAAAAAAAAGCAAATTATTAGATGCTTTGATTTATAGTTTAGAATATATTTGAAAAGGGAGTGGAACAATCTTATCGAATGAAAAATACAAAAAATACAAGAAAATAAATAGCAACGAAGAAAGGCTTATTCAGTTTGTGAAATCAAACAATAGATCTAGCGTTTCGGTTGAATAAAAGTATAGAACTATAATCCTACAGGGAAAAAAAAAAGGCAAAAAATCCCTTTCCTAAACCAAATGGAAAACTGAAAAAGTATTCAAGGAAAAAAAATAAATAAATAAATAAATAAATAAATAAATAAATAAAAATAAAAAAATAAAAAAAAAAAAATAAAATAAAAAATTTTTTTTTTTTAAAAATTACAATTTTTTTTTTTTTTTTCCTGTGTGTGTATTTCGTGATGGTTGCTGATAGGTAGAGATCTACTTTTTCTCTGAATCTTATTTATTTTTTTTTCTTTACTTCCTTTCATTCCTTTTTTTTTTTTTTTTTTTTTTTTTTTTTGTATTTTCATTTTCAAGGAATATTGCAAATTGAACAATGAAATTTAGAAGCACATCAGAACACTTGTATTTTATTCTTATTCTTGTTTTGTGGAGCTGAGTATTTTTGTCTAGTCATGGAGGATAAGAAAACGGAAATAAAAATTGTGCTAAAAAAGAATCTCTCTCCTTCCTTTTTCGAATGAAAGAAATCTTTAAAAAAATCCATTTACTCTGGTTACACAAAGCATAAATTTCCATTTTCAATCAGTAAAAGTCGCGTGCATGGTAGTATTATGTAACTTTAAATATATAAAAATATGAATTACCCTACGAGGGAAGCATTATTTTTAAAAGATAATTCATTTAATTACTGAAGACACAAAAAGATAAAAGAATATAATTAGTTACGAATTTTTGTCAGATAATCTGATTATACATTATGAACCCTTTATTGCAGAATTAATATCAGCCTGTCGCTTTTTGCAAAATATTATTGAAAATTAAATGAACCATTAAAAATTACCTATATTATAGCTTAGAAACTGAGTTCTGTATAAGAAAATATGATGCCTTTTCAAGCTTCCAATGTTGCTCATAAAGTCCTTATGCCTACTTTATTTTCACAATCATTCGTCATACACATGTACTTCTACTTACAAAATTATTTGAAATAAAATATTCACACTTTGATACTCAAATATTAAAAAATTAGTTTTATAAGTTTTACGAAATCTAACATTTTATATGATGTCTCAATACCTATAGTTATATTCAACAAGAGGATAAAAGTTTACAATTGGATGCCCCCCCCTTTTTTTTTTTTTTTTTTTTTTTTTGGCGATTCTTTTTTGACGCCAAGATCGGCGCCAGAAAGGTGCAATAGTCAGGCAGTTAAAACCAAAGCTGCAAAAGGTTTCCTAAATTTTATAAAATAAAATTTTTAAATTTCAAAATGCCGTAACAGGACTTTTTTTTTTTTTTTTTTTTTTTTATTATTTTTTTTTTTTTTTTTTTATTTTTTTATTTAAAGCATTTTTACATGTGGAATTATCTATCTTCAACCAGAGATCGTGAAAAAAAAAGACTTCTATGGACACGGTGTGTATTAGGTTACAGTTATGAGATTTAAGGGACTGAGACGTATCATAAATGTATCATAAGTGTGTATCATAAATGTCTTTGGTAAGATAGTAATAATATAAATCTTCTGACTTAAAATGCATTAGCTACGTGGTCCAATTTTTTTTTTTTTTTTTTTTTTTTTTTTTTTTTTTTTTTTGTTTCATATATTCCTTTTACCAGTGCTAATCGTTCATTCCCTCACACTTTTTTTCCTCAACCATTGTCCAGCAGTCGAACGATAAAGTCGCCGAACACTGTTAGTTTGATCTGGGCTCGATTCCAAGCGAACTGGCCAGCTGGATTAGCGCTTGCGTGTCTTTTCTGCTATGTACGTGATACGAGTCAGTTTCCCTTTGAAATTT